TTACCACCTTCCAAGTGTTTGCAGATGATTTCCTTAATTACTTGCTCCATTATCTTCCCTGGCACAGAAGCATGAAAGAGACTGTTCTCATACTAAGTTTGCCTGTTGAATTTTCTTCACCTAGACCACCAAGTATTTGAAATTGAACATAGCCATTAACTCAGGCTGGCACTAAGCATGGCAAACAGACCTAGTGTCTCTGTATAGCCTCTGACACCAACTTGTATGGATGCCCCTGAAGGGGTTGGAACCTGGTACTTTTTTATCTAAAAGCATGAGCTGCTCCTGGTTGAGCTAAAGGACCAGCTTCACTATTTTGGAGGTAATCGACAGACTTATAAATGTCTGTCTGTGGGCCACCGACTTGAGAAGGATGAAGAGTCAGAGTGGGTTAGCCTGGCTTGCCCTTAGTTTACATTTCTTTGGTGTTACATTTTTGGGGAAATAAAATACATTGTATTTGCAAAAAGACATTAAGTTGTTTCTGCAGGAATTCCTCAATGATGGGTCCCTGGAGATAATACATCCTTGAAAATACAGGCTTATATTGTCAAAATGTGTCGTCCTTATGCTGTGCACCACTATTTCTGGATTGATGTTGAAATCTCTTTGTTTATTGTTTATGTTATGGTAGCTCCTAGAGGCCCCATTGTGCCAGGCACTGTACAGACATAGAGTCCAAAATAGTCCCTGACACAAAGCAATTACAGTAGGAAAAATTAACTATGTCTGTCTCTCTGGTTCCTAATATTTAGTAGGCATTTGTCTTTATAATTCTGCCTTCTTTTTAAATGCAAATGCTGTATTCCTCTGGGATGATATTCACCCATCAAAGTATGTGCCCCAGATGTCTCCCAGTATATTGATAGCAGCAATGTAGTTCTGCTGCATGGAGGATGGGCATCTGCAGAGTAGGTGTAGGGAGAGAGAATAGCCCAGTGCAGAACTAAGGGCAGGCTGGGGGAAAGGGCTCTGGTGAGTGGGGTTCGGGTCTGTGAACACTTGGATCAATGGCTGCAGTGGTCATGGCCAGGAGCAGTGGAAGCTTCCTAAAAGTGAGGGGGAGGGGCACCAGCACCTGAACTGTGGCCCTGCCCTGCCATGCCACCCTTCCCCCCGAGTCCCTGCCCCTCCTCTGAGGCCCTGCCTTCACACTGCCTCTTCCCCTGAAGCCCTGCTTCCACACCACCTCCCCATCCCAAGACCCTGTGTGCTCCTCTCTGCCCCTCCCCTGTTCCTCAGCCTTACCGCTGGTAAAAATTGGGAGGGCATAGCCCTCCCACTTTTAAAAGTGTTTTTGAGATCATGGCCCCCTGACTCTCCATGTTCTGGCACCCCTGGTCATGGCCCCTATCTTTGCCTACAGCCTGGCTCAGTAGCTAGAGCAAGCCTGTTTGCAGGTTGCTGGGGAACTCTATCTCCTCCTCCATCCCAACAGTATTCTTGCAGCTGCCTACACAAAGACCTTTACTCAGGCTTACATGTGTGCAGCTTACATCCCCAGAGCACAGAAGAGGCAATTGATATGTTGCTGAAGCTGGGCCAGAATAGGTAACCAAGAATCCTTCCACTCGCAAAAGGCCTCTTGTTAGAAATGTAATGAGAAAAAATGCTCCAAGACAATGGAGTTGAAGACTACATCAGAATGTTCATTTAGCCAGAAACAACGACTCAGTAAAGGAAAAGAGAAATCCATCCCTGAAGACACCTTTCACTGGCAAGTCAATGCACATTTTGTATTGGGAACATGAAGCAAGTTAGCATTTTCTGTGTTCTATGAACTTCAAATGGGGCTAGAGAAGCTGGGAATGACTGAGACAAAAGTGAATGTGTGTTTGACAACAAAGTAGGGAAACAAACATCTTTCCTTGTTTCTGAAGATGTTACTACATAGAAGAAAGACCTCCCACCCTATTTCTCCATGATCAGTCATGTTGGTATCTAAGCACTACTATGTGCTGGGGATTCCTGCTCAGGGATTTTCTCTCTAATGAGATTAGATATAGGTGAAAATTTTCATCTAAAACTTTTTTTGGCAAAAAAGTGCAGCTTCCATAATGCCTAAATGTTTCACAAATTCATGTTGTGGGAAAGAAACCACAAACAAATATTCTGAAAAAACATTTAAAACATTTCATTTGGATATTTTCAAAATGCAGTGTTTCAATTTTTTAGCTCAAAACAATTTTTCATTGTGAAATTTCCTTCAAATTTGTTTTAAACAATTAAAAAAGTTAAAAACAAAATGCTCCAAATCGAAACAAAACATTTAATTTGATCCAAACCTTTTAATTTTTGAATTTGCTGAAAATTTTGAAAAATTTATTTTTTGGATAGACCTGAAACTATTTTTTTTAATTGTTCCAAATTGCCAGTGACCTGAAAAAGCCATTATTTGCACAGCTCTAGATGAGACACCTTGTAATGATGCTGCATATCTCACAGGCTATCAGAGGCCAGACAGCTTTCTAACTTGTTAGTGCAGATGACCTTGCATATAATCCAGATCTTGTGACTTAAAGTTTAGGGATAGTCTAAAGTAGTTTTACTCAGACTGTGGCTCACGAGCCACAAGTGGCTCTTTAATGTGTCTTCTGTGGCTCTTTGCAGTACATGAGATTAAAACACTGTGTGATTTAAATATTAGCCAGTCTAAGTTATTAACCAAGCAAGATGCTTTTCCTATGTTATTGACCAATTGTAGTTGATAAAATAATACTTGGTCAGTCATTTTGCTGTGAGAATAATTATACTAAATATATTAATATATAGTACTGTAGTAAATGAAACAATGAATTTACACTAGTGTGGCTCTCCTGGGTAATGTTGATCGCTAATTTGGCTCCTGAACCACTGAGATCTGAGTATCACTGGTCTAAAGGCTCCTTCAATAGTATCCACATTAGGTGGAAATCCTGTTTATTTCTGTCTTCTCACCATTCTGCAAATTACCAACAAATGCTGCTTCTCTTTGATCTAAACTCAGTTGGGTTCTGCCTTTCCTTAGGCTGGGAAATTAGTGGCTGCTGCTCTTGAAGGAAATGGAACTGTTGGCCTGGCTTCAGAGAGAGTGAAGGGTGCTCAGTGCTACTCTAGGTAATGCTGCTGTTGTCCAAGGAGGCAAAGATAGGTGTATATGATAGCTGGTTTTCCAGACAACGCTCAGGAGAAGATTGTGGCCTATCTCTGGAACAGGGTCTCACAAGCCTTGTGGGGAGAGGAGGTTGGGGAACCAGCACACAATCTGCAAGAAGGGTGCTGCAAGCTTCCATCAGTGTAAACAGCACAGACCGCATCACGGCAGGATTCTCTCTTTCATTTAAACAGAGAAAACCAGAACCTGGAAGTGCAGAAGACAAATTCCTCTGGCACAATGAGCTCTGGTAAGTCACTGCTCCTCACATGCCTGCCTTTAACTACAGAAATCCTCCTGTCCAGTTCTAATGCTGTGACTGATTTGTGTTTTTATCTGTTCTCTCTGAATCAGCCATTCCCGTGCGGGATTCCACTGTCGAGAGGGCCACAAGAAGTTTTCATAATGAAAAACAAACCCTGGTTTCAGGTTGTCATTTCCCCTCCCCTCTGGACTGGGGGCAGAGCAGGACTGGGTGGCACTCTCTCCCCGCCCCCATGGAGGATGGCCTGGGCCCCACTGTGCACCCTCCCAACAGTCCTCCACAACCCCCTAGGGGGATGTGCCCCACAGTTAGGGGACCATTGGTTTAGGGTCCCCATTGCTGCTAGCCTAGGACAGCCTTGAGTGTCACTTCAGAAGATACTTCTGGAATAGTACTGGGCACCTGGGCAGACCCTTGATCTCCTGTGGGTTTGTATGAGGGTAACTGATTAGCAAACAGTGACTGGGGTGGATATTTAATTTTTTTTATGGTGGTGTCTAGAGGCCCCTGTTGGGGCTGAAATGCGGTTGTGCTAGGTGCTGTACAAACACACAGACAGTTCCTGCCCCCAGGAGCTCAGTCTCAATGGGCAAGGATGAGAATGGAAGTGAATTTCTGTCCCTAGATCTGGTGATCAGCTCACACTGGGATGTGGGTAAGCATGGTATCAACACATGTAGATCCACAGTGTTTTACTATTCCGTGTCCTGTTCCTTTCTCGCATGTCTCCTGTATTTCTGCTGTCGACAGTGGAAATGCTTTTTTTTGAAATCCTGAATATTGTCAGGCCCTGCAGTGTGATCAGCGTGAGCTCACTTATCTTCGGGTGCCCCGACTTTCCTTTTGTCTTTCAGAACAAGAAGTTGATGGTGTGAAAACCGTGGTCAATGGGCTGATATCAAGCAGCAATGGACAAGAGCAAGGTGAGTCAAGTACATTCAAAATAATCTCTGCAGCTCCCCCTGCACATCAGTTGGAGTGGCGCATCTATTTCCCCACAGTTGAATCATTACAGTGTCTTACTGTGCTCAGCTGCAACCACAGCATGAGGGGACCGACCCAGTATTAAATTAACATTAATGTTTTAAGGAAAACTATCTTTGTCAGCAAGGGCCTGATCCTAAACTTGCTGAAGAACATGAGCCTTTCCAATAGCCTTTGGAACCTGCCCTTGCACCATTAGATTTTTTTTTTTTATTCGTGTATTTGGGGTGGGAAGATTTTTGCTCCAGGCTTCTGCTCTGGTATTCATGCCCTTTCCTCTCCTTTGATGGCTTTTTATGACAGGCAGTGTATTTATTATAGATGAATGAATAAGCTGGTTCAGAGTGAATCAGAACAAGAGCTTGACAGAGTCTATATTTTGCTTTTACAAATCCTTGTTAGTGGGATTATTCCCCAAACCAAAGTCAGTTTGGAACAGGGTGGCATTGTGTCCAAACCTCCCCTTGAAGTCCAGTGAGGGGGTGGATAATAGTCTCTGATTTAAGCTCATCTCTAATACAAATTAGCTCAGAACTGTGCCCCAAAACTGGAAGTCAACCTTTCTTGAGGTTTGAAAGAATTCAGCCAAGTTCTTCCACACATCAGTCCTCTCGGTATCTTTCCATTCTGGGGCAGCCTCTGCATTTTCAGGTTTTATCCAGAACCGCAGCCAAAGTGCCACAAGACCACCACAAGAAGAAGCTGTTCTTCTGAGCCTAACACTGCAGACCAAGAGCAGTTTTGGATAAAGCTCAGGGAGGCTTCCAACCTTTTGAAATCAATGAGTGTTCTGTATGAAGAGGCCTTACAAGGTCCGATCCTAGAGGTAAAATACTGGCTACACTGAAGTCAATAGCAAAACTCCCATTGACTTTGCCGGCACCATGATTTCCCCTCAGGTGGTTTATCCCAGCTGAACTTCTTGAGGTTCACCCATCACTAACTTTGCCTGTGCCCCATGAGGACAGAGTTCAGTATTGCTCATTCAAGGCCACATTAGGAAGAGTAGGGGAGGATGAACCAGATGCTTTGGAGAAGTGAGCAACCTTTAGAAATTTTCAACAAGTGCTAGAATGTTGCACAGTGCTGCATAACAGAGAAAAATCCCTCTAAGACAATGTTCAGTGTTTGTTGGTAAAATCCAGTATGTCTGATAAAATTAGTATGCAGAAAAAAGGAGTTTAAACAGAATCCCTCCGATTTACTGCTTGGCTGCTTGGATCTCTCAAGACTGGATACCTTGATGGCACCATTTGGTTCTGGATACTTTTCAAGACTCCTGGTCACAATTCTCTACTCCCTGCTATTGATGATGTAAAATATACACCATCAAAAACATAGGATTTGTGCAGAATGGCCAATCAATGTTATTCTCAGAATCTTAATCTGTTTGTTTCCTCACTCTGCATAATTTTAACTCTGCAACTTCAAGATTTTTTATCTTTGCATGTAATATATGTAGCGTCTTGGCTAAAGGTTTATACTAAACTTTAGTTACGTCGTCCAATGAATGTTTGAGATTCTCTTCCTTCACAGCATATTGGCAGCCGGGACTCAGTCAGTTCACTAAGCAGTACTGTACCCTGCACAACAGATACACATCCTGAATTAGGATGAATGAGGGGCTATTTTTAATGATTGCATCACTGCTCTCCGGACTGCTTTTGTATATGAAATTTCCTGCTATTGTCATTCCTGGTTTCTCAAGTACATTAGAAAGCTTTGTGGCATGTTTCCTTAATTGTGTTCTTCCCTTCTGGATGCACCAACTACACTTTTGTGTTTGCAGCCATTGACGTCCCTTTATGTGCACGCTCTATTTCTGCTGTTAAAATAATCCCCGTGAAGAAAGTGAAAAGTTCTCCTGACCTAATGCTACCTACAGGTATCTTTTTTTTCAAATGCATTAGTAGGCCATCATCCACTCTGTCTTCCTCACCCCCTTGTTAAGATAGTTTTCAGCTTCATCCTTCTTTCACTGTTTTCTAGTGCTGTAGATTTCATCAACAGCTAATAGAGTTAAACCATGATGACACAATTCATTGATTTCAATAATCCAGTTTCTCTGCAGGCATAATTAAGCATATTTGAATTTGGGATCTATGTAAACTCTTCTGCTAATGCTTGGTATGAACATTACTGTTGTAACCTCATTTTAAACCAAACTCCTGAAGAGTCTAAAATATTTCCTGTAAATCTTAGGTCCATAGAGAAGTAAACAGACATCAGAGATTTTATTCTGCAGGTTCAATCTACACACACACACACACACACACACACACACACACACACACACACACACACACACACACACACACACACACACACACACACACACACACACA